GACTACTACGAAATCCATCAGGAGCTCCTGAGTCTGATTCATTTCCTAATGTCCCCGCTACGTCTTAGTGGGTTCAGCCTCCAATCAAAATTTGGCTTCAGTGGAAAGACAAAACAAAAAGTGCTTTTAGGGGGAGGTTCTTGAGGTCCAGGGGTCCGTTTCTCGAAAGTCCCGGCAACTTAACGGGCCCGAAGCCACGTTTTAAAATCAAAATTTAAAAGATTAGGAAAGCAGGTTCTGGCACCCAAATCAGTCCTTTTGCTTCTTTAGCTGATAGTTTTATCATATCATTTTCAAAACTTTTGAAATCCCCATCTTGAATGAAAATAGAACAGCTTTACGGGCCCGTTAAGTTACTGGAACTTTCGAGAAACCGGCCCCTGGTCCGCCCCCCTCCCTCTCCCCCTTCAGATTTGTGGGTATTTTCGACTTTTCTGAAAGCAAAAATTCTTTCAACAACAGGTTCGCATTGTACAATTCAACTTGAAATATTTAAAGTCTCCTCATCTTGAAATATATCTTAGTTTATCTAGGCTCTAGTTTAAAAAAGTTGTGTTTTCTGAATCAAAGCTTCAAACAACAAAACAACAACAAAAAACAACAACAACAAAAAGCACTAAACTAAAGCGTGCGACAAGTTAAGTTTTATTTGCGACAAGTTAAGTTGCGACAAGTTAAGTTTTGTTTGCGACAAGTTAAGTTTTGTAATCGTTACGGTGGCCAATTTACCATTTCAACTTTGTTGATATATCCAAATTATGAAGTTTAAACTTGTTGCATTCGATTCATTTTTTGCCCAATTGTATTCCACAAAGTGACTCCACTTCTTTTCTCTTCACTTAATATTCTTTTCTTTCCACAGTTCGTTTATGTTGTCCTCAAGGTGGAGTTTACACCAATGTTGTAACTTTTATATTTGAAGTATTTATAATGGCTCCTTGTCTCGCATGCAAATGGGCGAGGGGTAAAAGAAGACCTCAAGCTAATACCTCTGCCTCGAGAAAGCCCCGCTATGGTGGAACAGATGATTTGGAGCTTGGCGACAAATGACGAACGCTACAGTACGATTTTCTGAGAAATTAAATCTACGAACATGTCTAATTTTCGCCTCCTGCAAATTTTTGTTTCCGGTGGTAATACTGAAGGGAAGGCTCTGAAGGGGGAAAATTAACCCTTTCCACCCTAACATCAGTATGCATATTCTCCATACTGTTCTCTTTACATTTCCTAAGGTGCTGTTAAGGAGAATTTGTTTAAAAATCAAGGGCTTTTTTAGTTGGTGATCATTTCCTTTATTCTCATGACCTTAATGTGTGTTTCAGGGGTGATATTGTAAGGAGAAATTAGATGCTGGTCACTCTTACACTGATCATTTCCTTTATTCTCATGACCTTAATGTGTGTTTCAGGGGTGATATTGTAAGGAGAAATTAGATGCTTGTTACCCTCAGGGGTCAAAGGTCTAGTTGGGATTTGTCCCCTCTGTGTGAGAAAAATGGGATGTAATAGCTCTTCTTTTCCTTTACTGTGGTACTTGAGATGGAGTATGCTCGGCTTGTAGTGTTCTTTGCGGCTGAATTACTCCTTTAGTACAAGCCTAGTCGGATCAAAGATCTTTTGGGATATTTTATTTCACCAGATCCGTTTGAGCCCCGCCACTTCAACAATCAGAACAGGTCTGCGTTATAGTCTTAACCCACTCTTCGTCCTTAATTGAGAATATCATAATACATGAAGCGAACAATTTGCCACTAAGTCTGCCCGCCAACAGTTCCACTCTTATAGTCTGAAATCTATTTAAACGAAACTGACACAGAAACAGTGCCCTTCATGGGAGGGCACGGGGGATAACAAAACTGCCCCCCTTCTCATCGTATACTCAAATGTTTTAAACAAGTGAGCAATTGCTCCGAAAAGCTTTCAAGAAACGCGAAGGAAACCAGAAAGGTAATGGCGTAGTAGGTGCTTAACGAGCTAAGGCATAGTGCATTACGTGGGGAGGGGAAGGCACAATAGACCCTTTCCTCCACTAAAAAACTTTAATTTGTTCTTATTGCTCTCATTGGTCCTTTATTAACTCTATTGAGGAGGATCTTTATGGAGGGGAGAGAGAGAGAGGAATGATCGCTTGGTTAAGTGTAGTAATAGTAATCCGCGTGCACATAGGGCGTTAGGTTTTACATTTTTAATTTTTAAAGTAAACGAGGGTCGCTAGTCACGCGCGCAGTGGGCCAGTGGGCGTGCCCCAAACACGTGCACTTCAAACAAAAACAAAAAGACAACAGCAACAAATTCCTGCCTCTTCTTTTGGCCGTATGAGATCAATGAGTAGAAAAAACTGGTTGCATGATTCCTCACTTCTTTTTCACATTTAAAATCCCAATATAAGAGGCTGCATTATTTTGAAAATCCACCTTGAGACGGTTAAAAAACATTAAATATTTACCCAAAAAACGAGACATATCCGTAGAAAGACACAAAAAATATTTTTAAATACAAAGTAAATTTTGGTTTATTTATTAAAAACTAAACTGGTACTTATGTCGTTAAGTTAGGCCTGAAGACTCTGATGGAGTTTTATAAAGAATTTTTATGATTCATTAGTAATTCTCTTTATTGTCTGCTATACAATTCTTACGATGCAAGTTTCCAGTAATTGGTACTGAATCATCTAATACAGGTAATCCCCTAATTGAAATCTTCTTCTGCATTGCCATCACTTGTCAGCCTGTTATTGTATGTTGTATATTAATGTTGAAAGGAGAAATTCTGTTTTGGTCACTTATTAGCTACTGAAGTTGTACTCCATTGCTTCTCTTGGCTTCTTCTTGGACGTGTCTATTTCCTGTCCCCTTGATGTGGTTCAACGAGAGTTCAAAATTGCAATATGCTTGCTCCAAATTCACAGAGAGAGAACCACCTTCTCATAAATGGAGGTTGATCCCTAGGGGAGTATGTTCAGAAAGGTGACAGTTTGAGATGGACTGATGGTATTGGACATTAAGCATGCAAGCTAGAGCTGTTTGTAGGATATTGTATGGTCTACATACTGAAAACATGCATTCTTATCTTGAATTATTTACAAGATACAACCAATAGTGCAAACAAGTCATGTCTTAATTGAGTCAATTTTTGTTAAAAGTGCAATAGTCATTGCAATTTAAAACAAAAAATAATTATTTTTTAACATTTCCACATGCAAACTATTTGTTTATTCTTGGTTACCTTGGACACTAGCAGCTGGTAAACGGATCACTGAAAAAAAGTTGTCAGTTTAGTCATAAACAAGGCAATATTTCTGAGGGGAAATTGCTTACATTTAAAACTATGCAAGGCAAGTTCTGAGCACAGAAACTGTGCATGACTACAGCATATAATGGCAAGTGACATTCACATATCGTACATTGTACCGCTTTATTTTACCAAATGAAAGAGGAGAGTTCCTCTTCTGTATCTTCAGTTGATTGAGCAATGCACTCAAGGAGTGACAAGTACATCAAGGGACATGTAGAAATACACTTAAAAAATTACTGTAAGTATTTAACATAGTCATTTAACAGTACAAAAGGTATTACACTTATGGATTAACATTTAATACCCAAGAATGTATCACAACTTAATTTTCCTCTGATAGTCAAAATCAACAGGTGAGCACAAGATGACATGTACCTGTGACAACTTTCACCTGTAGCTGGCTGTCTTTATACTTTGTTATTGGGATTTGGAGCTTCAAAACATTCTATTCTCTTGAGGAACAATGCAGTCCATTATGTAGAGAAGAGTATAAAGGCAACACAACACTGGTACTGCCAATATACTATTTCCTCAATGGATGTTGTGCATGTGAGGAATATTTTTTTTATACTAGGCTTAGAGATTTAGTTGAAATATTCAGATTTGGCTGTGTACCCAGAGCAAAGTAAAACTTTTGGAGAAACAAGAGGAAAGGAAACATATACAAAGAAATATTAATTTGAAAAAGAAAAATAGAATAGCTAGCTGAGTTTGATTTGATTGCCTACACTGAACATTTCTAAAAACCCTTTTTGTATTGTGATACCCACTTTTCAACACCAGGAAAAATAATTATGTAGGTTTTGCTTATTTAACTCTTTCACTTTCATGATCTCAGTGTTAATTCTCTTTACTGTCTGCCATACATTACTAATGATATTATTTCTTAGAATACTTGAGTTCATATGAAATATTATTAACCCCTTGTTGATCAATATTACATTTCTAACACTTGTTTCATTAACATAGTGTTGACATTGTTATGGTATCCCGAGTCAACGTGAAAGAGTTAAATAACTGAACATGTATGACAAACAGTTTCCTGAAACAGAAATTCAAGTACAAAATCACTTTTCCATCCTGCGGTAATTTCACCTTTATGCTGTAGCTGGTGCTGAACTACTGTAGATTTCCTTACACAAAACATGAAGGCCTTTTCATCAAAAGAATTACAGCATCTTCATTGCTAATGGAAATGATAAGATGAGTGTGCTACTAAACACAACCATTCCTCATCATTTCCCCTTTGCTACTACATATTAAGCATTTATACTACATCTGATATCTACATTTATTACCCAACTGCAAAAAGTAGAGTACAAGTGAGGAGTGTTAGACTGGTGGGATACGCGTACTGAGCTTCTCTATCCACTTTGCTTTTCCCACATTAAGAAAAACAAGCAGAAACACTTGGCAGAAAACAAAGCAGTTGGATAATAGCTCATTAGACATTTTAGTGTGTAGTATTGCTTTGTATTTTTACTCTATGTTTGTATTTTGACCTGCCCTATGGGGGCATCAAAATACCACACAACTTGTAAAAAATTAATACTCAGTGATACTATACACCAAAACATCTAATAAGATATATGTACACATTATACTAAGCCAATGTTTTGAACCATTTATCGACATTAAGTCATGTTTGCGTCTGTATCCAATGGAGCAAATTTCTTTCACTTTGTTCTCTGATTAAAATAATTCGGAGGTTAGCAGGCACATTTGTCCTGATTTGCCTGCTGGTCTGTGTGCAGTGAGTTGGCTGGCCTGCCTGCCAGTGGTTTGTGCTGCACTCCTGACTCTGCTGCATTAAGATCCAAACTAGTACAAAGCAGATAAACAAAGAGGATGAGGTATTACAAGATAATTTGGTTTTAATAACTGAGTTGATAATGTAAATTAGCCATTGTAAACAGTTTCTAAAGTTGTCAATTTGCACATTAGCCCTTCTACATTTGCTCTTACGAAGGGTTGATGCTTAAAACTCCTCCCAGAGGCCAAATTACATAAACAACACTGTTGATATAACCAAATGCAGACCAAGTATTATTACATAGAATATAAAATGTAATGATAATTGGCTTTTTCTCAAATAACATTAGTGTAGGAGGAAAGCTTGCTTCCAAAAAAAACACTATTAAAAGAAATTCCCACCACATTTCACCATATCTGCATGTACTCCTACAAGATATATTTATTACACAGCAGCCAAAAGATGTGAAGTTTGTTTGAGTGAATTAATGTTCTCACAGTGGAGCTCAAAAGACAAGGGGACATCATATGCTAGTACCATAATTATGCACCCATAAGTGTTTCAGTTGCAGGTGAAACTCTCCTGTCCACATAATAAACAACACTGTACATAATAGAATGAAATACTGTTACATGTGTAACAATAACCTCTGACATACCTTCCATCCTGAATATTTTGGTAAATTTTCTTTGCTGTATCAAGGAATGCATCCTCTACATTTTCACCTCTAAAGAATGAAAACTAGAACTTGTTCATAACCAAAGAATACAATGCTGAGGACTGGACTGTTGAGGAGTTGCATAATCATGAGATAGTAGAGTAAATTAAACGTTACTCCTTTTAAATAATATTTATAACTAACACCCTTACGTTTTTGCACTTGCTTCGCAATACAGAAGTCCTGTATGGATAGAGATAATTGGGTTAAAATTGGGACAAATTTCACGAGAGCAAAACCACTCCAGACAGTGTTTATTGTACATGTGGATTCCTTTTAAACCCTTCCTTTTACACACTCAGTGACCAATAAGTAATTTCTCTTAACAAAATCAATAAATTAACACTGTTTGATTTGACACCAAAATTCTCTTGGCTAAGTCATAAAATGTATGGCAGGCAGTGAAGAGAATTTATATTGCAATCTTGGAAGTAAAAGGGTTAAAATGGCTCACCATTCTCCTCAGCAAATTGTTTGGCTTCTTCATACGTCACATCTCTCTGTTGTGATAAGAACAAGAAACAATGGCAAACTGAGGACAAGTCTCACCAATACTCTACACACACACACACACACACACACATGTACATGTACAGCCGTACATTGAGGTTAAAATCTGACAGAAGGAGAAATGGCAAGTATCAAAATACAGACAGATAGACAAATGCTTGATTGATTTATTACCTGACTGATTAATTTGAAATTAAATATGTGTACTGACCTGTGCATCTAGGTCTGACTTGTTCCCAATTAGAAATATCACCTGAAAGTAATCAACAAAAACTGTCAAAAAAGGGAACAACTTCATGTGCTACAAAACAGAAATTAAATGTTATTAATAGTGACACAAAATTTCTTTTTTTCTAAACAATAAAAAGTTTTCTTTTCAAGTATTCATTTGACAACCTTAATAAATCATCATCACAGAGTTAATTAGTCCTTTATAAATCACAAATTAAATTGATCTATGACATAAAACTGTTTGCTGTTTTCCTGTTTAGGTTTTGGTTCCTTTATCACCCTTTCAATTCATTCCAGTACTTCTTACTATCTCTGATTAAAACCGTTCAGTACACCATGTACCCTGTTTTAACAATAAAGGGCAAGTTTGATTATCATAGTGCAAAGCGAGTCACTTTTGTGTGCCTTATTGCAAACCATGTAAATTACAACTCACTGTGTTTGGGTTTGTTAAATTTCTTGCATCTGTGAGCCAACTACTTAAATGATTGTAAGTACTTCTCCTATGAAAGAGGAACACACAAAGAAACAATGTTAATAATTGTGTAAAATATATATTTTTTAAGTATCAGAGGTACGGGTAACTGGTTGTTGTCATTACGAATGTTACCTAACCAAGATTGTTTTAAGTGAAACAAATTCCCCATCATTGCTTTCTGATCGTTCTTTTCTCTCACTACACTCATGTCTACAATCACAGGTACCCCCCTCTACATGAGCCTTCATCAACTTGCCATGCATCATGGTCTGACATTCACAGAAAACATTATGTAACATACCATAAACATTACTCCAGCAGAGAAAAATATACAGGTGTACATGCACACACACATCCACCAAAAGGAAATCAATTCTTACCTTGTAATATCATACACCATAAGGGCACCAGCTGCACCACGGTAATAACTTCTCGTTACAGCTCTGAAAAATTCATCATTGCAAAGAAGTTGTACTGATTACTGGTTAGTACATATTCTTTGGGTCACAAGAAGCCATTTCTGAGATGGACTAGTGCTCCATCTTAAAAAGACAGGAAAGGAGAAGATGATTATTCATTCTCACGACCAGAGTTTCTGTGAGGGTCTCTGCCTGTTGTGATATAGCCTCTCCGAAAATACACTAAGGCTCTTGGTACAAATAGCAATGGGACAGGTGAAGGAAAAAGTATGGGTGAGTACAAGGGCCAAACAGGTTTAACCCTTTCCAATCTAACATTAGTATTTATATTCTCCATACTGTTCTTGTTACAATTCCTATGGTTCTGATGAAGAGAATTTGTTTGACAATCAGGAGCTTCTTAAATTGGTGATTATTTACTTTATTCTCGTGACCTTTATAATTGATTCCAGGGTGCTACAGTAAGGACAAATTAGAAGCAAATCACTCTTAAGGTTAAAGGGTTAAGACAATTTAACACACCTAAATCTCTCTTGTCCAGCTGTATCCCAAATTTGAAGTTTGATCTTCTGGCCTGATACTTCAATTATTCTTGTTCCAAACTCTACACCAATGGTGTGTGGACAATCTGCCATAACTATCAGAAGCAAACAACACTTGTGTTAACTTACACACTTGCATAGTTAACAAGGTTTAGCTTTAGTACACTGCTATTAGAACTGATGAGAAACTCTCTCTTAAATAGAGCAGCAGACAAATAAAAATTACTAAGCATCTATTGAAATCAACGAAATAAATATTTTCCTTGGGTAGGCACCCTGTATAGGTCTGAGTGTCCCGTTCCTGCCCATCCCTTTTGGGCTTTAATTTTTTTTTATGTATGTATATTTTCATTTTGATCTTGCCCAATAAAGCTTGACGTATATACATACATGCTATACAGAGGATGAAAACCAACCACAGAGTAGAACTGAGACAATACAATATGCCATTCTTTGTTGTAGCCAATAAAAGTCTGGGTTTACATGGCCTTCTGTTGGAACATTGTTGCTTGCAGAGTCTGCACAATTAAATTGTTACAAGAGACTTTCAAAATCAAAATAAAACTGTCTAGTTACATTTCTTTTCTGTAAATTGGTGAAGTAGACAGGATTTGCCTACACCCATATCTCCTGCAAAAAATTAAACAAAAAGTAATTTACAATGAACCCTCATAGTGCATGTATCCCTCAGTTTACTGCTTTTCTGATAAAATAAAAACTGATTATAATAATTACTATCAACAGAAACTTTAATCTCAAAATAAATTAATGTAAACAACTTTACTCCTATTTAGGCCTAAAATTTGAGATCATAAAAATAATTGTTTGTGAAAATATTAATTTGTTTAAAATCCTCTGTTGTAAAAGAAGCTTTGTCATCTCTAGATACCTAAATACTTTCATTTAAATTATGACATTTCGTATATCAAGAAAAAGTTATTAATGCTGAGTGAGGACTGACTGAACTGTAAAATGATCAGCCTTTCATAAGCAAATGATCAAAGTTTGGCCGCTAATGCATGCCAAAACATTCCTCCTTAAAAATTAATCGTCACCACGAAGGTAAAGTCCCTAACAGAATTCTTAAAGTAGTTCTCCACACAATGTAACAGAAAATACAGTGAAGAAAATTAACGACAAAGTTCACGTAACTAGGAAAAAAGACGACACGAAATTTGGTTCTTTCAAAATACACACGGAAGGCTTACCGATAATTATGTATTTGAATATATAGGAGTAGTTGTAAGGTCCCGTTGCTGCCATGATCGGGAAGCTAAAAGACAAAAGAAGAATCTACAAGAGGCTTCCTTTAAGGAAAAAGTGCATCGTTCATAAATGACCTCCCAAAGACGGAAATGTGTTGTGCACTTTCAAAAGGAAATACTACTAGAATTTTCTTCAACCTACGATTCCTGTACGGCTCTAGTTTCTATATGAAATACAAGATATAATTACGTATGATGCACGTTCAGAACTTCATATATTCATTGTATCTCAAGATATAATTAGTAGATTTATCGCAATAAGAATTCAAGGTGTTTCTGAAATAACATCTGCTGACATACAAGAGGATTTCGTTAGAGCTAACACGTGAAAAATGTGCGGTCAATAAAGAGCAGGGAGAAGCCTGATGTTACCCACCCCCTTGAGAAAAGAACAGATTTGCGTTGCACCACAGGAAGATCACTGGGGCTCAAAAAAAAGAGCAGAAGATACATGAACCGTGTAAACTAGAGCTCCGTTTAAGACTCCTTACCTCGCCAATTAATGAAAATACAAAAGCAAAATCCGGAAGACGAAGATGAGAAATATGGCGGATCCCGTGATTCGAAAATATCCCGATGAGCCAAAAGCATTCTGGGTATACCAAATCGGAAACTTTTCGAAAATACCGAGCTATAATCGATGGAAACGAAGATAGTTCGACACAAAATTATAAGTACGCGGCAGCAAAGCTTGCATTATTATCAACAATGGTGGGTGAAGCTGGACGGCGGTCATCGCGGGTAGTAGCGAACCACATCTGCCGAGTACATGGAAGATGAGTTCAGTTTGGAAGCGCTTGCAACGTGTAGGGAAAAAGGCGTCAAAGTTCCAGTTCACGGCTTCATATCAGTCTCTGACTGTTGAGTGTGTTCGAGGTGGAAAATGGTAAGAACTCACCAGAATCTAACTAAACCTTTATATTTCCCCGGCCTATCGTTATTATGTTTATGTCCATATTTCAAAATACGCTCTAACGTGATCATCCTTGTTAATTCCTGAAACTTCCCCACCACTGAGTGCTGAAAGTGCTATGTTTTTACGTCCACCATGATTTTACGAGTTTTGAAGAAACGTTCATCCGGATAATCAGAGAAAATCAAAGCACCCAAGGGTGTATATTATTATAATTCCTTCCGTTTTTAAGTAGAAAATGAAACAAGCTTTCACGTGATTTTCAGTCTCTCTTGTAGTTATCGGTGTAAATTAATTCGTTAGCCTGTGTTTTAATTGTGCTCTTTTTTAAATTTGATAGTACTGGCAATATTTTTTTTTTCTGATCTTTCTTCGTCACATGCGCGCACTCCTTCGTAATTTGCGATGCGAGAAACCTTAAGACATGTGTCTACAAGTTGATTTCAGTTAAACATAAGAAGATAAAAGCGGATTCAGACCGAAAATAAATTATTTGTTTCCGATGAAAGAAGGAAGAATGAAGCTATTTGTTTGTTCGTTTCATTTTCACCTGAACAAAAAAAAACTATTATCATTTTGTACTGTTTGACGGGAAGGATGTTTATGGGAATGCAATTATCCAGGTGTTGAATCAATACCATTTAATTGTCAGTGGAATGCAAATTTTTGACAATTGTGAATATCCGAAAATAGATTTAATGTTTGGTATTGATGATCCTAAACTCTGGGAATTCAGGAAACATTTATAAGCTATAAATAGTTTGATCTACCAGGTTGAAGGTTAATGTTTATATAAACAAGCTTCGTCTTACCAAATTTTATTTTGAAGTTACTGATTTTTAACCTTTTGGACTCTGAAGAATGTTGTAAGCCACTTGTAGAAATACAAGACAGTACAATCCATAGTTTTTGTGCTGCTAACACTCTTCCTGTTCTTGAAACTTACAGTAACTGTACTTTACTTACACCAGAAACAAAGAACAACAAATTTGCACCAATGATAATATTAAACCTTAACATATTGATTGCAAGTTTTCAATTTTTAATAAAAATAATCATCATTATCATTATTGCTACATGTAGTAAAAAATTTCAAATGAACACAGTTAAAATTTCAAATTATCTAATAAGTTAAATGTTATAAAGAATGAGTCTCCTTGATAAAAACCTCTTTGAAAATTATCATCTATAGGCAGCCAAACAAACTTATTGTGGTGTGGACAAGAAGAAAAAGAAGAAAACTTTCCAAGGTAATTTTTGCTTTTAGTACTTTAATTTTAGATAGCAATGTTGTATTTGCTCTGGGATTGTGACTTTCAATAACAAATTAACTATATGCACAACAGTTTCTTTCTAACAGTCATTATTGAAAGCAAATACTGGTATACAAAAATGACTTTTTTTCTTAAGCCTACATGTATATATTATGCTCTGAAAGGTAGGTGCGTCTAAGAGGAAGACATACTACACATCTACATTGACCCAGTCAATTTCACATTGGCAAAAATGGACTTGTCAAGCCCACATCATCACTGATGTACATTTTTTAATGTTTTCCTTTTATTTATGACATTTTTTACAATTTTAATTAATAAACAGTACTAGTCTCGTGTTGCAGTCAGTGTGTTAGTTTACCACCATATAACTTTTCATAAGGAATAGTACATGAATAGAACTGAGTGGATTCCTATTTGGTCTGTCACTATATGAGTGATTTGCAAAAACATGAGTTGTTAATCATAAGTGCAATTAAAGCCAGAATTGGACAACACAAATTACATGACAAAATTCAATAAACAAATTAGCCATAGGCTATAAAAATAGCAATTAAAAGGCTGTCTGCTTAAGAACTGACCACTCGAATTTCGGCTGATCACAGAATTCCTCAAATTTTTACTGTGAGATATTTGATCTATTCTATCGGCAAAAATTGTATTTATTTGGTTGATAATGCTATTTTTTCAAATCTTTTGGTAATGAGATGTGAGGACCGTCAAAAAACAATGGAAATTATAATTATATTTCAGAGTTAATTTTCAG